GCATGAATCCCCAGGTATATTTCAGTTGCGCATTACGTATGCACATTTCACCTGGTTGTCCAGGTAACTTTAACAAAGGGACAATCGTCACTGGCTAATCCAAAATACATCAGTACGGTGTATATGTTTATATATTCCCGACAGCGTTGTCACATAAGTTCTCTTTAACTTGCTATTCTTTTATTTTACTTTCAAAATGAAATATACAAACACGCATTGCTAATATTCGAATCGCAGCAAACGGGCGTTGATAGAAAATAAATAGATATTTTTGTGAAACTGGAGTGAATGGTCCAAACGTATATTTCAAACTATTCGACACACACTTATCACCGTTATTGCCATATGGTTCACAATATATGAGTGAGTGAGAGAGTGAGTTTAGTTTTACGCCGCACTCAGCAATATTCCAGCTATATGGCGGCGGTCTGTAAATAATCGAGTCTGGACCAGACAATCCAGTGATCAACAGCATCGATCTGAGCAACTGGGAACCGATGACATGTGTCAACCAAGACAGCGAGCCTGACCACCCGATCCCGTTAGTCGCCTCTTACGACAAGCATGGGTTACTGAAGATCAATATTCTAACCCGGACCTTCATGGGTTACCGGCAGTATGAACAATTATGAGGAGTCCGTACTTAGACATGTACAATTGTGTGGAAACAAACTCCAACTGCCATTGTCTACGGTAAATATATTCGCTGTCAGCTGCATGTAATACTCAAATCTACGCTGTAAAGAACTGTCTAAAAAGAATTCACGAACGCGCATTTGTGCAAAAGGTACACAGTATATTGATGCATTTTGACAACATCGGTCATTATATTTGGGTTTTACGATTTCGTAACATGTTAATTCGAATGGTTTGGGATCTATAAGATAAAATGACACTGTTTAGGGCAATGTAACTTGTATTGCGGTGTTCTAAACTTCTCTTATAATTTCGTACGATATTTGGACGTCAACATTCATCTATAGAACGGTTTGTGTGAAGAATGTAAAACAGTGATTAAATATAAAGGAAATATGAGTTCTAAAAAATGGCAAACGTGCACACAGTGTTTTTCATCAAACAAAGATCAAAAAACATTTTAACTTCCTGATAGAACGAAGTAGAGGACAGTCTACCGAAGCATGTTTACATAGTTACATTAGCCATATTATTAGGGCTGCGCAATATAACCGGTTTACCGGTATTTACCGGTTCAGATATGAAAACGATACGTATTGCGATACGCTGATCGAAAACCGGTATTTTGACATGCATTCGGAAAACTTCGTAACACTCGGAAATCTTCGGATATTTCCGTTTTTTGAATTGTTCTTTTCCCTGTTTCATTAGTGCCAAATGTTACTTACATTTTTATTTTGTCATGATTAAAAGTTTTTATAAAAGGTTAATCAATCATAGTGATTTTGTTGTGTTTTTTGCTTTATAATCAAGCATTAACTCGATTATAAGTACTTTTTTGTTAAAAAAATAATCCTTGCAACATATTGCAATACATATCGCAATATATGCTTCCGCATCGCAATATATCGCAATATGAAAATTCTCTGCAATACCCACCCCTACATATTATATCCCAAAAATGAATTAATTAAGAGCCAAGTTAACAATTGTGCATCAAAATCTGACCGTTAATGGCGTTAAGTTAGATATACATGTATTATATAGACTGATATTACCTGAAAGAATATTACTGTATCATGATACTTGATTGACTAAATTTGATTTGCAATTCTCAGAAACTGATATTCCCCCGTGTCATTCACAATTAGTGATGATCAATAAATCGTTGTTTTTGGCACACATTTACAACATTTTAACCATAATATGGGTCACGTGGCGGCAAATTAATTTCTTTCCCTAATCATCTTTGAACCATTTAACGCATGACATTACTCGGACACATAGTATTTACAAACTGTTGACAGAATGAGTGGTGACTGTGGTCCGATAAACAACGATACAAGTCTTTCTATATATATATTTTTTCAACTGCATACAAAACATGTCACCATACTTTCACAGTGTGCCTGTTGAAGATACCTGGCAAGTGTATTAACCAGAATTGTACTGAAAATTTCCATCTATCTCTAAATGCAAAATATGTTCTGCACAACTCAGTGTGATTAATTAAAGTATATTCCGTCTATTCTGTACACAAAGTGGTTGTCATGAAATCGATATATTGCCGTTGTACTTCTTCGATACGGGACAGGCACTTTCACACAACTCTAACTGACTGACTGAGTTTAGTTTTACGCCGCTTTTAGCAATATTCCAGCAATATCACGGCGACGGACACCAGAAATGGGCTTCACACATTGTGCCCATGTGGGGATTCGAACCCGGGTCTTCGGCGTGACGAGCCAACGCTTTAACCACTAGGCTACCCCATCGCCCACTTTCACACAAAGACACTACTTAAACTGAACTTTGACACCATCGTTGCATAACAACAGTGAGACTCACATATAACCGACCTGACTGATAACACATGTGATTGATACACAACAGCAAACTGTGACTAATATACAACTGACACATATATACCACTTACACTGATATACAACTGACACACATATACCACTTACACTGATATACACCTTACACACATATACCACTTATACTGATATACACCTTACACACATATACCACTTATACTGATATACAACTGACACATATATACCACTTACACTGATATACAACTGACACACATACCACTTACACTGATATACACCTTACACACATATACCACTTATACTGATATACAACTGACACATATATACCACTTATACTGATATACAACTGACACATATATACCACTTACACTGATATACAACTGACACATATATACCACTTACACTGATATACAACTGACACATAAATACCACTTACACTGATATACAACTGACACATACATAACACCTATAACTCATATACAACTGACACATACATAACACCTATAACTCATATACAACTGACACATACATAACACCTATAACTCATATACAACTGACACATACCTAACACCTATAACTCATATACAACTGACACATACATAACACCTATAACTCATATACAACTGACACATACATAACACCTATAACTCATATACAACTGACACATACTTGACACCTATAAGTCATATACAACTGACACATACCTAACACTTATAACTCATATACAACTGACACATACCTAACACCTATAACTCATATACAACTGACACATACCTAACACCTATAACTCATACCTAACACCTATAACTCATATACAACTGGACACATACTCATATACAACTGACACATACCTAACACCTATAACTCATATACAACTGACACATATATACAGCTGACACATACCTATATAACACATACAACTAACACCTATAACTCATATACAACTGACACATACCTAACACCTATAACTCATATACAACTGACACATACATAACACCTATAACTCATATACAACTGACACATACATAACACCTATAACTCATATACAACTGACACATACATAACACCTATAACTCATATACAACTGACACATACATAACACCTATAACTCATATACAACTGACACATACATAACACCTATAACTCATATACAACTGACACATACCTAACACTTATAACTCATATACAACTGACACATAACACCTATAACCATATACTACACTAACACATATAACTGACACATACACACTATAACTCATATACAACTGACACATACATAACACCTATAACTCATATACAACTGACACATACATAACACCTATAACTCATATACAACTGACACATACTATTATACAACACCTATAACTCATATACAACTGACACATACATAACACCTATAACTCATATACAACTGACACATACCTAACACCTATAACTCATATACAACTCATATACAACTGACACATACAACTAACACCTATAACTCATATACAACTGACACATACCTAACACCTATAACTCATATACAACTGACACATACCTAACACTTATAACTCATATACAACTGACACATACCTAACACTGACTATAACTCATATACAACTATACAACTGACACATACACCTAACACCTATAACTCATATACAACTGACACATACATAACACCTATAACTCATATACAACTGACACATACTTAACACCTATAACTCATATACAACTGACACATACATAACACCTATAACTCATATACAACTGACACATACATAACACCTATAACTCATATACAACTGACACATACCTAACACCTCATATAACTCATATACAACTGACACATCTATAACACTCATATACACCTAACACCTATAACTCATATACAACTGACACATACATAACACCTATAACTCATATACAACTGACACATACCTAACACCTATAACTCATATACAACTGACACATACCTAACACCTATAACTCATATACAACTGACACATACCTAACACCTATAACTCATATACAACTGACACATACCTAACACCTATAACTCATATACAACTGACACATAACACCTAACACTGACTATAACTCATATACAACTGACACATACCTAACACCTATAACTCATATACAACTGACACATACCTAACACCTATAACTCATATACAACTGACACATACATAACACCTATAACTCATATACAACTGACACATACCTAACACCTATAACTCATATACAACTGACACATACCTAACACCTATAACTCATATACAATTGACACATACATAACACCTATAACTCATATACAACTGACACATACTTAACACCTATAAGTCATATAGAATTGACACATATTTAACACCCATGACTGATATGACCTACACCATACCATGGTGTTCTACAGTATTACATACCGACACAGTGTTTTACTGGAACATATCTTGAGTTACGTAGTTAGGAAATTTGTTTTGGTCGGAAATTACATTTGGGTAATTTTTGAATGGTAATTGTAGAAGTTACTAATGAACTTACTTATTTGAGCTAGTGCTGACGACAGTCCGACGGCAACAACGATGACAATACACAACACATTCGACATCGTCGACTATCTGTCATTATCCTCCTTCCAACTTTAGTAGGGTACCAAAACAGTTGCCACGCCCGACACAATTCCCGTGTGTTCTTACAGGGGAGGTAATCCATACACGGCCGACTTTGTTGTGTGTTGGCCGAGCTAATCCGATCAACGTGCTTGCTTGGCCTGGAATAATCGATACAACAATGTCTGATTAACGATACACTTGCAACACAGCCGGATTATTTCCTCGTATCTAGGAGTGTTGGGCTAGCTGGAAATAAATCAGATTATGTCCAGTTTTCGTACATACGCGGAATCCGAGGCATATATTGAGCAGGACGTGTTGCACAAGCTGTTCAATAACGATACCCCAGATATGAACACTGGTGCTGCATAGAAAACACATTAACTTGATTTATAGCGGGGCATTCACCGTGATCTTATTGACTAAGTTTAGGTGCTTCAAGCCCGCCCGCCCGCCGAAAGCTGGCCGGGTTGTAACATGTCTCTGTCAATCCCTTGGTATTTAATCAACAAACATACAAGCAGTATCGAGATATTTACAGTAGATACTTACAAACAGAGGAGCAGCGAAACTCACAATCCGAAACAACAGCAGCGTTAGGTTGGAATATGTAGTTTTCACGTGTTTTCTGCCAGTCGCGTGCGACCCCCGCCCGTGACCTCTCGTTTCGTCACGATGACCTCCGCATATTGTCAAGAAAATCGACAACAGCTGACTGGGATAGCGTGCACTCCGTGAATATGAATGGGGAAAGGTTTGAGCGGGGAAATCTCGTCTGAGCTTGATCGAACATGATCGAAAAGCTACGCTCTGTTAGCGCCGAGACTTGGCGTCAATTTCAATTATCACTTGGCACAGGTGAATCCCTATAACAGCTAATAGCGAAGAGTTGTTTACGACAGTTGCTAGGGTAACGGGTACAGTTAGCTGTTGTTCATAGACCAGGTGGTTGCCATCCTTTTTCTTTTGCATAGCAACGACCTTAAACGTGGGACGATAGACTGGGGCGCGCCCCTGTACATGTGTAGCTCTCGACTCTCGTATTTAGAAAGAAAATAACGGTGGAAAAGCGGGATAGGAAAAGTTTGCTTCCGCTTTGTAGGCGATCTGCGCATGTCTGGTAGACAGCGACGCTCTTCGAGTTGAGGAGTGTTATTCGTTCGTTCTGGAGTGGGCTACAAACCGATTTCCTGGATAATATTACCAGCTACTACAGATACAAGGATCTGATGGACTTAGAGTATTCAGGTGTCTGACTTTCTCACCATGGAAGGCTTGTGGGTGTTGTGTTTGGTGGCGACATGGCTTAACACTGTTACAGGTGAGAGAGACGGAGATATTATATATACAGCGGTATGTGAGGTTGGGTGATTACCTCGGAATGCTTGTTAACCGCTATGGAGATATATATCAGTGTTGATACACCTGTCAGGGTAAGGGAGAGGGGGAGGCGACATAGATTTTTTTTGGGGGGGATTGATCTTAGTTTGTCTTAAACGAAAACCGATGTCTAAACAAGATGAGGCACTAGAAATGATACGGTAGTTTGGGGGGTTTAAACATTAGTAGCTCGTTTGCCGAAAGCGCATGTTCAATTCCCCGCATGGGTATTATGTTTCAGCTGTGAAATTTCGCTGAAAAGGCGTAAAGTTTAAATACACGTTCGCTATTTCGTTAAGATAGGTTCGTTTTAAAAGTTCAGTCAATGTTTCAACGTTATGAAGAACTGTGGGCATAATGATTCTTGATAAGTTGGGAAAATGTAGTTCAGCATAATAATAGGCTGACCATACAGTTTACGAATACTGTTTTATTTCTTTTATCATATCATTTTATTCGTTGATATTTTTCTTACTGAAGATTTACTATGAGTTAAATTACTGTATACCTCATAGACAGGTTACATTGTAGCATGACGTTTATCTTCTGTACATCACCACAGGAGCAGGGCTGTACTCCCTCCACAGCTCAGCAGAACGCCGGCTGATACGGTTGTACTTGTGTTACTTCTCATTATTTACGAGTTGTACTGAAGTACACTCTGCCTATATTACAAACTGTAATTGGAACAGTGATGATGGTGGAGCCAATTGGTTTAAGTGTTACTTGTTATTATTACGACTTGCAGTACTCGCTACCTATACTACAAACTGAAAGTGGATCGGAAATAGTGGTGGAGCCACGTGGTTTAAGTGTTACTTGTTATTATTACGACTTTTAATACTCGCTACCTATACTACAAATTGAAAGTGGATCGGAAATAGTGGTGGAGCCATGTGGTTTAAGTGTTACTTGTCACTATTACGACTTTTAGTACTCGCTACCTATACTACAAACTGTGATGGTGGTGGAGCCACGTGGTTTAAGTGTTACTTGTTATTATTACGACTTATAATACTCGCTACCTATACTACAAACTGTGAAACTGTGATGGTGGTGGAGCCACGTGATTTAAGTGTTACTTGTTATTATTACGACTTGTAATACTGGCTACCTATACAACAAACTGTAAGTGGATCGGAAATAGTAGTGGAGCCACGTGGTTTAAGTGTTACTTGTTATTATTACGACTTTTAATACTCGCTACATATACTACAAACTGTGAAACTGTGATGGTGGTGGAGCCACGTGGTTTAAGTGTTACTTGTTATTATTACAACTTGTAATACTCGCTACCCATACTACAAACTGTAAGTGGAACAGTGATGGTGGTGGAGCCACGTGGTGTAAGTGTTACTTGTTATTATTACGACTTGTAATACTCGCTACCTATACTACAAACTGTAAGTGGAACAGTGATGGTGGTGGAGGTGGTTTAAGTTACTTGTTATTATTACGACTTATAATACTGTTACCTATCATGTGATTACGTGGTGTAAGTGTTACTTGTTATTATTTGTAATACTCGCTACCTATACTACAAACCATAAGTGGAACAGTGATGGTGGTGGAGCCACGTGGATTTAAGTGTTACTTGTTATTATTACGACTTATAATACTCGCTACCCGTGATTTAAGTGTTACTACGACTTGTAAACTCGCAAAGTGGAACAGTGATGGGTGATGGTGGAACCACGTGGTGTAAGTGTTACTTGTTATTATTACGACTTGTAATACTCGCTACCTATACTACAAACCATAAGTGGAACAGTGATGGTGGTGGAGCCACGTGGTTTAAGTGTTACTTGAAATTATTACGACTTGTAATACTCGCTACCTATACTACAAACCATAAGTGGAACAGTGATGGTGGTGGAGCCACGTGGTTTAAGTGTTACTTGTCACTATTACGACTTGTAATACTCGCTACCTATACTACAAACTGTAAGTGGAACAGTGATGGTGGTGGAGCCACGTGGTTTAAGTGTTACTTGTCACTATTACGACTTGTAATACTCGCTACCTATACTACAAACTGTAAGTGGAACAGTGATGGTGGTGGAGCCACGTGGTTTAAGTGTTACTTGTTATTATTACGACTTATAATACTCGCTACCTATACTTCAAACTGTGATGGTGGTGGAGCCACGTGGTGTAAGTGTTACTTGTTATTATTACGACTTGTAATACTCGCTACATATACTACAAACCATAAGTGGAACAGTGATGGTGGTGGAGCCACGTGATTTAAGTGTTACTTGTTATTATTACGACTTGTAATACTCGCTGCCTATACCACAAACTGTGAAACTGTGATGGTGGTGGAACCACGTGATTTAAGTGTTACTTGTTATTATTACGACTTGTAATACTCGCAACCTATACTACAAACTGTAAGTGGAACAGTGATGGTGGTGGAGCCACGTGGTATAAGTGTTACTTGTTATTGTTACGACTTGTAATACTCGCGGGGCGGTGGGGTAGCCTAGTGGTTAAAGCGTTGGCTCGTCACGCCGAAGACCCGGGTTCGAATCCCCACATGGGTAAAATGTGTGAAGCCCATTTCTGGTGTCCCCTGCCGTGATGTTGCTGGAATATTGCTTAAAGCGGCGTAAAACCAAACTCAGTGAGTGTAATACTCGCTACCTATACTACAAACTGTAAGTGGAACAGTGATGGTGGTGAAGCCACGTAGTGTAAGTGTTACTTGTTATTGTTACGATTTGTAATACTCGCTACCTATACAACAAACTGTAAGTGGAACAGTGATGGTGGTGAAGCCACGTAGTGTAAGTGTTACTTGTTATTGTTACGATTTGTAATACTCGCTACCTTTACTACAAACCATAAGTGGAACAGTGATGGTGGTGGAGCCACGTGGTTTAAGTGTTACTTGTCACTATTACGACTTGTAATACTCGCTACCTATACTACAAACTGTAAGTGGAACAGTGATGGTGGTGGAGCCACGTGGTTTAAGTGTTACTTGTTATTATTACGACTTATAATACTCGCTACCTATACTACAAACTGTGATGGTGGTGGAGCCACGTGGTGTAAGTGTTACTTGTTATTATTACGACTTGTAATACTCGCTACATATACTACAAACCATAAGTGGAACAGTGATGGTGGTGGAGCCACGTGATTTAAGTGTTTCTTGTTATTATTACGACTTGTAATACTCGCTACCTATACTACAAACTGTGAAACTGTGATGGTGGTGGAACCACGTGATTTAAGTGTTACTTGTTATTATTACGACTTGTAATACTCGCAACCTATACTACAAACCATAAGTGGAACAGTGATGGTGGTGGAACCACGTGGTGTAAGTGTTACTTGTTATTATTACGACTTGTAATACTCGCTACCTATACTACAAACCATAAGTGGAACAGTGATGGTGGTGGAGCCACGTGGTTTAAGTGTTACTTGTCACTATTACGACTTGTAATACTCGCTACCTATACTACAAACTGTAAGTGGAACAGTGATGGTGGTGGAGCCACGTGGTTTAAGTGTTACTTGTCACTATTACGACTTGTAATACTCGCTACCTATACTACAAACTGTGATGGTGGTGGAGCCACGTGGTGTAAGTGTTACTTGTTATTATTACGACTTGTAATACTCGCTACATATACTACAAACCATACGTGGAACAGTGATGGTGGTGGAGCCACGTGATTTAAGTGTTACTTGTTATTATTACGACTTGTAATACTCGCTACCTATACTACAAACTGTGTAACTGTGATGGTGGTGGAACCACGTGATTTAAGTGTTACTTGTTATTATTACGACTTGTAATACTCGCAACCTATACTACAAACCATAAGTGGAACAGTGATGGTGGTGGAGCCACGTGGTATAAGTGTTACTTGTTATTGTTACGACTTGTAATACTCGCGGGGCGGTGGGGTAGCCTAGTGGTTAAAGCGTTGGCTCGTCACGCCGAAGACCCGGGTTCGAATCCCCACATGGGTAAAATGTGTGAAGCCCATTTCTGGTGTCCCCTGCCGTGATGTTGCTGGAATATTGCTTAAAGCGGCGTAAAACCAAACTCAGTGAGTGTAATACTCGCTACCTATACTACAAACTGTAAGTGGAACAGTGATGGTGGTGGAGCCACGTAGTGTAAGTGTTACTTGTTATTGTTACGACTTGTAATACTCGCTACCTATACAACAAACTGTAAGTGGAACAGTGATGGTGGTGAAGCCACGTAGTGTAAGTGTTACTTGTTATTGTTACGATTTGTAATACTCGCTACCTTTACTACAAACCATAAGTGGAACAGTGATGGTGGTGGAGCCACGTGGTTTAAGTGTTACTTGTCACTATTACGACTTGTAATACTCGCTACCTATACTACAAACTGTAAGTGGAACAGTGATGGTGGTGGAGCCACGTGGTTTAAGTGTTACTTGTCAGTATTACGACTTGTAATACTCGCTACCTATACTACAAACTGTAAGTGGAACAGTGATGGTGGTGGAGCCACGTGGTCTAAGTGTTAGTTTCACACACCCACCATGTTCGACACCCATGTGGATGAACCGTCCTCACATTGCCAGAATAGCAGGTAAACAATAGAAACATGAACTCACTTCTATATTTGAAACCCTTCCAGTCTGGTTTCTATTTACAGCACGCCACTGTGTATTATTTACCAATTAATGTCACGATATTGACATTTGTTTGTTTATATCTGTAACCTGATTCATATTAGTCAAATACAGAAATAACTGTATGCTGACGAAGGGGCGTGGTACTTGACATGTAGGGGCGTGACCAGTAGGGGCGTGACCGATGGGGGCGTGTGTGAGTCATTCACAACCAAACCGCAGTGCTGCTCTTGGTCGTCCCCGCTGATATCGCCAGCGGTTTCTTATTAAAAGAAACCGTCTTCAATTTCAGTTTTATTCGCGGGAAACT